ATAATTTCTTCCCACTTTAGAAAACGGCACAATTAGTACAAACTAGATGCTCAAACTAGAAATCTGAGAATCATGCTTGACCCTTCCTCTCTCCTCCATCTCCTCTACCACCATGTTCTGCCCATTACATCTCATCTCCAACTTTGCTACCAACACCCAAGACAAATCATCATCAGCTCTCACCTGGATGCTACAATAACCAAACTAGTGATGTTTCTATATCCCTGAAGGAACTATGCTGTCTCCATAATCTTATCTGTGTGTCTGTTCCTCTTTTATTAGATTCTGATCACATGTACACTTTTTAGTTCTATTATAAGATGATTCTTACCTCCGGGTCTTCACACATGCTACCTTTGGCCAGAATGTCTCCTCCTCTGTGATTCCTTTCCCTCTGTGTTAGCTTATATCTTATATTTTCTCAATGATCTATCAGCCATGCTTAGAAGTCTATCAGATAAGAGAGGTAGAGAGACAGAGAAAAGGATTAATTTTAAGAGTCAACTTAATCCTTTGTGTACTCAAATCTTCAGTTAAATTGAGTCCCTGAAGTTAAGACCCAGGTTCCTAGGACTATTTGCCTTCATGATTTTTAAGTGCATTTTACTCTTGGCTAATGTGATCATAGTTCCATGTCTTGGTATGTCTCTCCCTTCCAGTGGTTTTCTTAAGCCCAAATCCTGAGTGCCACCTGTATCCATATTTTGAAATTTTATTTCTTCCTTCAGAATAAAAACTGTAAGAGATCAAGAACTATGTTTTCCTTTTTTATGATTATATTTATTTGGTATTTGGTATTTGGTTACTACCTAACAAGAAATAAAAACTGTAAGAGATGAAGAACTACGTCTACTCTTTTTTTTATTATTACTATATATTATTTGGTTTACTACCTAACAAGAAATAATTGTTCAATAAACAAACTTTTTTATTCTGTTTGCCAACATGCCCAGCCTGCCAGGGTAGTCATATCATACTTGTTTTGTCTCTCAATGACTTGATAAAACATGGGTCTTTGGAACTAGAAAACCTCCCTCTGAAATCAGCTATCAAACCCATGGTGTCACTCTGGGAAAATTACTCAACCTCAGTCTCTACACCTGGAAAGTGTAGAATATATAATGTGCTTCACAGTAATATCATGATTAAAATGACATGTATACAAAGTGCTTATCATAAAGATCATGAGAAGTGAGTTGCCTTTCTTTCATGGCTCTTAAAAAAAAACCAAGTTCTCCTTACATCACACACACACATTTCCAATCTGCCCTTCTGAGTCTTAGAGACCTTCACACTGATAAGTTTTGCCTTCAGAAAATGAGGTAATGAGCTACAAAACAGCATCTAAGACATCACAGCAATATATTACTGTAGCCCTAAATAACTGAACACAGAAATGGAGGCAATCTTATTTTTGATAATGTAGAAGACATTACTTTAAAAGAAAACAGCAGATGGCAGCACCAGATGCTAGAGATGTGTCTGATGGGATTTGAGCTCAAATCTGAACTTCTAGGAAGCCAGAGTTACCTTTTAAACTACATTCAGAGCAATAAAAATTTGCAAAAAGTTTCCCCTTATAAAAATAAATGTCTGCCTAGTAATATAGTACAGGATATTTGGAAGACTGCTCTACATGCTACAAGCAAAATCCAAAGAAAATAACCAAAAGCATTATCTGACTAATAAAAGGTAATTAGACTAAAGTTTCACTTTGGTCTGTACTTGTGTTTAATTAATTATCGTTGTGTTCTAATTAGCTTCAAAGGGCCTAAAGCCAAAGAATGAAATTCGACCAAGTTTTAGAAATGGATTTTTCCCCCCAAGTATTAAAAGCAAATCATAAAATGTATTCACTCATATTAAAACAAGGAGTAACAATGACCCTCTGATTGTATTCCTCAACATCACTTAGGAAATTACTCATTAGACATTGGAGGATCTCATTAAGTTGAGGCAGTTATTAATTTAAAAAGATTAACCGTGTTTTTCCATAATATGCATCAAAATGTTATTTCAAATTGATAACATTTTAAAATTCTTGCTAAACTGGAAACTGATTATTACAGCTTCTCTTCCTTGACAGAAAAGGGATGGTGATACTAACAAGACACCATGCTATGGGCAGGCCACAACCCCAGAAGAGTCATACCTTTTCAGTCAGCATCCGCATTGAGGGCTTAGTCCTTTTATATACTGCTTAGTGTGCTTGAGGCTTCCATGAGGTCAGCAGGTGAGAACTGAGCTTTGCATTCTCGATGAAGCACAGGGAGGAATTCAAGCCCCTACAGGCGTGGGAGGGCAAAGCCTCACTGAAGCAAATGCCCACCTAGGTCTTGCAGGAGGACATGTCTTAGCGACATTTGTTTGTGTTTAGTTTGGGTCAAAGAGAAGCCGGAGCATCTATGTCACAGGGAACGGAACCAATCTCTGTTGAGGAACATTCGAGCGGTGGGTAACTAACTCTGCCAGTGAAACCATCCATTGTTGTCCCACTGGAGTGAATTGTCTTCCAAGTACTGTAATCATTATTCTGAAAATATTTTTCTTACCTTAAGTCACTATAAGAGTGAGCCCCTTGAGAATATCAGGCAAGACCGCTGAGGCTAATCTAAAGTCATATAAAGGGTTCTAGATGGAAATTTTGTTAATTCACAGGAGAAAAAATGAAGCAAACATCTGAATTGTGAAAAGAATGCGTGTGTCAGTTAGTAGAAAATTGGCCGTCACAGGCAGATGAAATTCTGAAATCTAATAATGCATAGGGCAGTACTCTTATGGAAAATGGATGATTCCCAGTACTATCTACATGGTAAATGATACAAAGAACAGAAAACAATATAATAGACAGGATCAAATCACAACCCAAAGAGAAAAAGTACACTACCCAGGAGAGGCTTTTTTTTTTTTTTTTTTTTTTGTCGAAAGCACTGTGGGATGATAATTATCTTTCTAAGGAATGAATAAAGTCCATTGCTTCAAAGATCTTATGCCTGTCTGAAACCTAGGAGTTTTCCTGATTTTAATTCCACACTTGCCTTAAGTCTGGTAGCTGAAGGGACCCTATGTTGGATGATTTTTCCATGCCCCCCACTAAAGCCTGTGTGGTCCCTGCAATGGGCCAGCACACATCTGATGGCAGAGAGTGCCAGTTTCTCACTGCCACGCTCCTTTTCCAGGTCTGCTGACACAGCCTTGCCCTCTAGATGCCCTCGTTGGGAGAGGCACCCCTACCCAAGTCTAAACGCAGGAGTCAGCAAAGGGTCATTGCTGGCCTCTCCTCCTGACAGTCTCCCCTCCAGACGGCTGGGTGAGTCAGAAGGTGTCTTCTTGGGAAGCCGGAGGCCCAGGCCAGCAGCCTCTTCTAGGAGTCGTGACTGAGTGGGAACATGCTGTGCTCAGCCTGTTGGCTCTGCTCTTGGGATCACAAAGTATGTGTTACAACAACAAGCAGAAGAATTCTGACCACACTCTTCCCTATCTGGAGATCTGTAATGAGAACATTTAAAGTAAATGCATACGGTCAGGAAGCAGGGCTGTAAGTCAGAACACTAACGGGGTTTCTGCTTTGTGGCCCTGAGACACTGATTCTTTTGCTTTCTGAATCCAGACCCCACACATTTTGGAAGAAAAGCAAGAGCCAGAGGATGGGAAAAACAGATCATGTTTATGAGACCAGTCTGTAGCCATGCCACACTTAAGAGTTTGGGCTTTCATTCGGCAAAGAAACTAGCTGTTCTTTCTTCAAGGCTCATTGGAAAACTTGCCCAGCATCTGTTAGTCTGACTCTTCGGCTTTAGGATCATTGTCTTGGAATCTTCTAAACCAGTAAGTCCATGGTCATTTCATTTTGAACACAGAAATTAGGAAAAAATACTAGACATTTGCCAAAACAATGCAATAAAAATAAGTGAGAAAATCAGATTAAAATGAGGATGCTCTGTCCCCTACACCCCACCCCTGAGTCTCTGTGATTTATTTATTTTTTAATGATAACTTGAGTAACCTTAGGTTTCCTAAGACAGTCCATTAAAAGAATCCCTGCAGGTGGGTTATTTCAAGTAGCAAGTCGGAGAAAAGATTTCGACCAGTTTCTTTTCCGTGAGTGGACATCTGTAAGGTGTGACACAGGACAGCACACTGTTTGGGTTAATGGCAGGACAAAGTACAAGGACCGCTCTCGTCTTGCAGGCTCCTCATAAGCATCCTTTCCCATTCTGGGTGATCCAGAAACTTCAGGTAAAGGCCCAGCAAGACCTCAGTGCACATGCTCAGGACACCTGGAGTGATGCTTACGTAGAACTGTTCCAGTGTGGCTGGGTGCCTGGTGTCAGACCTAACAAGGCAGAGAGCGGCAGAGGAAGTAAGCATTTGCCAGAACCATGAACACACAGGCAGTTGCTTCAGTGTTCATACGGGGGTTAATTCCCCACTGGCTCCAATCATGTAAGTGTTAAAAGAAAGCACGCTGTTACTGCAGTCTACTCTTCAAGTGCTCCAGTGTTTAATTATTGTTAAAGTCATTTGGGGTTTTTGACATAGATTCTATTTTAGTAAGATAAATTCGGCATAGCCCAGCATTGCCAAGAATGAATTCCTAAGGTAGATGACTAAAATAAACCCGTAATAAATATTGGCTGTTGGAATGGGAATTATATCTCTGTAATGTAGACACAGCATTAATGACTCATTTCCAAATAATGGACTCTCCCAAGGATTATTGGTGTGAGAGATCAGGGAACAAAGAATTCCATCTCGCTTTTAAGCAGCAGAATGGAAGAGGACTGTTAAGTCCAGCAGCCGGCAAGGGTGTTCTTATGTCTACTTTGTCAGGAGACAGGCACAGCCCCGGTGGCTGACAGAGGGTTTGGGGTGGGCACAGGGAAGTGGATGTAGGCAATGAAAGAAACCATCGAAGGGGTGGAGAAGACTGACACTGGGACAGTTTTCTCTCGTTCTCTTGAAGACAGACTCATACCTGCAGGCCCATCCAAGGCATCTCATGTGGCATTAATTACCTTATCACTCCCAGCCCTTTTGGCTGAGTTCCTCCGCTGCTTGGAATTAGTGGACCCTTTTGGGCCACCTTCTTTCCCTAAGGTCAAATTCTGAACTTTTGGCCCACTGGATTGAGCTTTGCAGCTTCTCTGGTGGATCAGGAGGCGGTCAGGGGCAAAGGTCCGGCTACAATTTGGGCAGGGTACAAGCTGAGCTTGACTTGGCCACTCTTGGTTGGACTGACCAGCTGGAAGGGGCTGGGACTTCTGTGGGAGTGGCCGGCGGAGTTCTCGGGGGAGCCGATCGTTTTCGATTTTCCACTTCTCCAGGCATTTGGGCTCATGAATAGGAAGGGACAAGGTGCCAAATTCCCTACCACAAATGTAGCAGACCAGAGTCCTTGGTCGGGCAGGGATGCCACTAGCAGCTTTCTTGAGACCAGCAGAATCATCAGAAATGTTGGGGTGCGGGGCTCTGGGGCCCTCACCCTTTGGCTTACAACTTCTCTGATGGACAAGGAGGCGATCTGGCAAGAAAGTGCGGCCACAGCTGTCACAGGGAAGCAGCTGAGCCTGGGAACTCTGGAACGCAGCCTCATTCATCGCCTGGAGGTTATAGGACCCACTGCCGCTAAGAAGCTGTGGTTTGGAGGGTTCTGGCCTCCTCAGGTGCTTGGGCAATTTGCTGTTCTCAATGCGCCACTTTTCTAAGCATTGTGGTTCATGAATGGCCAGTGAGAGGGACCCAAATTCCCGGCCACAGATATAGCAGATACGGAATCCAGGCCTGCGGGATGGGATCACAGGAGGGCTGGCCTGGCTTTCTGACATCCTTCTCCTACTGGGATATCTTGAGAGTGTCACCGTGCGCGGTCTGTTTTTCTGATGGTTTGTTTTTATTTGTTCAGCAGAACCAACACACTCTGCTTCTGGTACAAGGCTGGAAAGGGAGTCCCTGGCTACCACGGCTTGGTTGATAAGGAAGGTGGGTTCTTTAGAATGGTGGAAAGACTCTTGCAATTTTTTGGAAACCTTCTTTGCCTTGACTCTTTCCATGAACAAAGAAGTCTTTCTCTAGCTCTAGCTCTGATTTCAGGCCAGACTCATCATGGGCTTCTGCTTAGAGGGAAGGACAGAGAGGCTGGCTGGCCCAGGGTTCCAATTGTTGCCAGTGCCCTAAACCCAAAGACGGTGACTCAGAGTTTCAATGCAGGCAGCAGTCTGGAATGCTGGAAAGTCCCTATTAAACCTCAGAGGCCTCCAACTTCTGTGGGGGGAACATAAATCAAGAAGTTATTTCACACATACATCTCTTAAGTTTGAAGCTGACAGAGAGCACTAATTATTTCTTCTGACCTGCTGTAAAAAGCAGGGAGGGTGATGCCTAAAAACAAATGGCCAACACACTCAGGACCCCAAGAAACACTTGCCAGGGCCCATCTAGCCAGCAGAGAGCCAAGGAATGCCCAGAGAAGGCAGCCTCTCACCCCAACCTACAGGCAGGCCTCTAAAGCCCGAGGTCAGTTAAGAGGTCAAAGAGGGGAAAGCAAATCCCTATCTAATCTGCTGCCTGGGTTGATAAAACTAGACCCTTGGAGCACAGTAGAAGAGAGAGTGAGTTAGAAACTGGACTTAACAATCAACACCCTTTGAGTGCCCACACAGTAAACTCCAGAAAGGGATGGAGTGAACAGCCCCCCTGTACCCTATTTAAGCTAGGAGTCCCTCACATTTCCTTGAAATTGTTTTCCCTGGACTCTGCCCACCTGGACTTCTTCCTGGATGTCCTTTCACTCTGTCTCTAATAAACTTTGCTAAAACATGGCTCTGAATTCTTTCATGGCCACAGTTAAGGACTAAGGAAGCTGAAAACTCAGAAACATTTAAGCACTCTAAACATTGGTGTTATTCTCTTTGGTTAGCACTGTAAACTAGTACATAGAATTTGTTCAGTAAGTGTTGAAATAAATATGAAAAAAATTCCATGATGAATTGCACTTTCATACTATCCAAAGTAGCATTTTGTCCAAGGAAGATGGATAAGCATATCACAGACACACATGGCACAAAGCAGCAGAGGCGTGACAGTGAGATCACAGAAGGGAGCGCCAAAGGCCTGTGACAATTAGATTAATGGAAGTGGCAGATCATGTAAAAACCCTTCCTCCCACTCTATTAGGGATACTTGAGTTTTTAGTGTCATGGATTCCCTTCACAGTTCTCGTAAGCTTACCATCTCTGTTCAGAAAAGGGACTGTGAAGGCAAAACACAAAGTTTTACAAATATAATTAAAAAGCTGTACTAAGGCCCTCCCTGGAGGCGCAGCGGATTGAAGCACAGCACTAAGAAGCTAAAGCCACTTCAGCATGAGTTCGATCCCCACCCCGGATGTGACCCACATGGCGTGGCCGACCTCTCCTGACCCGCCCGCTGCTCCCCTCAACAATGCACTTCATCAATCTGTCTGTTCTGCTCCCCGCTCTGTTTCTGGTGAATCCTCTCACCGCCCACACACCTCTGGCCTATACCCCAGTTCTGTATGCATAAACAAATTAATCTTAAAAAAAGAAAAAACAAACAGCTGTACTAAAAGAACATGTCAAATATTTCAGCTGCAATGTGTTTTACTTGAGATTTAGAAATAGCCTAGACTTCTTGAACATCGATGTGCCTGAACTTAAGCAGCTCTGTAAAACAAGTGACTCAGTAGTATTACGAGGATTATCAGGAAAACTCTCAGAGGAGTGTGAGCTTTTCATAGCCTACCAGGTCCCTACTTTTCTTTATTGTAGGAATGGACAATTCATTAATTAGAATGCAATCTATGTCTATATCCTTCCTGGTGATACATCTGCAGGTCTTGGATGAAGATCTAGAATGATGATGCTCTGACTTTGCTTGACATTCTTTTCTGTTTAAATTGAGAAAACATATATAAGATGTTCAAGTTTAAGGTACAGAATGTTGATTTGATACACTGATGCATTCTAATATAATGACCACCAGTTTTATATCTATTATATATGCTAATGTATATATCTAACATATAATGCATATAGCATATAAAACATTTGATACTATGTATGAGTGTGTGTATGTGTGTGTGTGTGTGTATATATATATATATAAAACAGCTGCATATATAAATGTCTCTCTCTCTGGTAGACAATTAGTAAATAACACTTTTGAAATACTTTTTATAAAAAAATGGGGTCTAAGGTTTTCCCGAAGCATTATCAGAATTATGGGCAGAAGTCTAAGGAGTTGTTAGCTTGGGGGAAAGGCATGAGTCAGTTTTACCACCCGACTACAATCTAATCCCAAGAAAGTATTTCCAAAGCCTTTTTTATTTCCTGAAGGAGACCCACTTCTCAGTCAGGGCTCTGTAGCTTTCATCCCAGTCGCAGAGGGAGTAGCTAGCACCTGAGGATGGACTGGCAAATCCCATAGACCCTTGAGTTTGGCAGAGCAAGGATTGCAGCATAGGGAATAGCAAAACACTGATCATTGCATGCGATCAGGGGCAAGAGTGATTGTAAGATCTGTGCTGGACCCCTATTTCAGGCCAGACTCATCATGGGCTTCTGCTTAGAGGGAAGGACAGAGAGGCTGGCTGGCCCAGGGTTCCAATTGTTGCCAGTGCCCTAAACCC